CCGGCTACCTTGCGACACTGTGTTGGATAAAGCAGTTAGAAAATGGAAGGATGGATGGACTTACCTGTGAATGGTCATTATGAAGGGTTCTAATAATGCCTTTGGAATGTTGAGGACTTCATTGTTTGAGGCTCTTTCACATATTTCTGCTAATGTTATAACCTTACGAACTTTCTTCTCTACACTACCACTGTCTTGTGCCAGTCTGTCTTGCAAGGGTATTAACCAAATGGAAAGCACAATAAGGCAATCGTGACTCCACTGAACATGTCGCTGTAACTGTGTACATGAGGCGGAAAGGGAGGATGGTGTGTGGTGGCCCTGATTACTCAAAGATTTACCATGGATTTTGGCAGACACTATATGACAGCCCACACTCAGTTCCTGTTCGACAGATATTTGTTCCCATTCATTTTCTGAATCAACGTGAACACTATATTTAAATCTCATGGAACCTCTCTGTTTAAAACATGGCATTGGAAATATCTGTTGGGGTTTTTAACAATGTACTAAAAAGTGAACATATCAAATAAAGATGAGATGTGAAGTTCTTATGAGGAATTTTCCTGTAATCAAGGGATTTTTTAATATACCAATTTCAATGGCAAAATTAAATATTTTTGTCTTTATTATCATGTTCTGAAGTATTTGTTTTTTTTTAGTTTCAGGGGTCTTTTATTAGTATGTAGACCATTTTTAAGTGAAAACAATAATGAGTGGAGAAATACTCCATAAGCAGTTGTTATTTGAGAGCATTTATTTATTATTTGAATCAGTCTCTCTCCTGAACACAACATTCAGTGGAATGGAATCCTCTCAGACCTTTGGGACAGCACTTTGGACAACATACACAAGAAAATTGCACAAAGAATGTTTAGAACAGAATGTCAGAAGCACTATGGATTCTTAATGGGAATTACTATAAAACATTACAATACACTGTTATTACAAATTAATGGAGGCTAAGAAATGTGAATTACAGTTTTTTTTTTAAGTAATATGAACATAGTACTTTCACCAAAATAAGTATTATTATTTCCCATTTATTAATTGTATAGAATACACAGTCCAGACAGGTTTACAACAAAAGTCAGTCTTTCTCATTCTACTGAGAAAACATTTGGACTATGTTGCGTGCTTCCAGACAGCAGAAGTGACGGAGTCCTATAATGTTATATATATATATCAGTGTTTTTTTGTCTTAATGAAGGGTCAGGTCCAGACTTAAATCATACAGCGTTTATTTTAGTGGCTTTTCTCTCATATAGTGTAACATTAAAGAGTCCAGAAAATGTTAATTACACAACAGCTTGCTAAAAAATACGTTCCATTCCTCTTACAGACACAATAAAATACTTTTCAAACTTAAAATCATCTCCTCACTACTTCTGCAATACAGAGAACTGACAAGCATGTTTTACAAAACCTCACAGACTACATACAATAAGAACATAAATATGTCAAAATATATACAAAATATATAACAAATCTGAATACTTAATTTATCTCAAAAGGTATTTCCCTTCTAAGTATACACACAGCACCAACAAAATAATATACCACATAGTTTGTTTCCCTTCTGGTGTGTGTGGTTGCCGACTCTCTCACACTCTGCCTTTTCTTTTATAGCTCTAGGCAAGAGAATACTGGAATGAGCACCTCCACAAACATTTTGTCTTCCAAACCTTCGCATCCAAATAGGATGCCACTCACTGAATGGCACTGAATGTTGGTTTGTCAAAGGAACAATGGAAACCACATTGTGAAAACAGCCCAAGACTAGTACAGTCCCCCTGTGCACTTCAACAATACATGAAGCCACTGTGCTTTGTAAAGACCTTGCCTTTCTAGCATTTCAATATGCAGTAGTGATAGTTTTTTACCACATCTAGTGGACAAGCAGAAATATAGACTACTGGAAGTGGAGAAAGTCAAGCTTCATATTAAGCTTAAGGCGCAAGTGTTTGTAACAATGCTTTTTTTTGCTTTAGCAGAAGCATATATATTTGGTCACAGGATTTCATAGCAATTTACATGTCTTATCCTGTTCAAGACTACTGTCTACTTAAAGCTTAGGTTTAATGTCCAAAACTCTTAGTTTTTTTTTTTCAAAGTTTTCTTTCTGTGTGGAGCTCTAACAACTGAGCCTGGTTTTCCACAGCAGAGTACTCTGTCTCAGACACTTTAGAGGCATCGATGAGCTTGGCCAGGCCTGTTTTGGTGGAGTACTTGAAGATGAAGGCCTTCATGAGGTCATAGCGGTAGTTTCGGTTGATGAAGTTGTAGATGACGGGGTTGACACAGCAATGCGTGAGTGAGAAGCACTGAGTGAACTGCAAAGCCACGTACAGAAAGTTCTCAAGCTCACAGCTGAAAGGAAGGATGCTGAGCAGGGAGAGAGCATCGATCAGGAGCACCACATGGTAAGGCAGCCAGCAGACCAGGAAGACCACAATGTAGGTCAAAATGATCTTACGGCTGAGCCTCCTTTCCTGATCGGTGGAGGAAGAGATGGCCCCAGCCAGGAGGATGTAGAAGACTGCAATGACAGGGAAAGGAATGGCAAAACCAAGAATGATGAAGCTCATCTGTATGCCCACCACCCACTCTTTTGGGCTTTCTTCAGGGTACACTGGGCGGCAGAAGGTGCTCTCACTGTGCCCTGATTTCACTGTCTTAAGGAAGTAGGTGTCGGGGATGGAGGCAGCCAAGGCCAGCAGCCACACCAGGATGCAGATGAGCCTCCTCACTATCTTCTTCCGACGGCTGTTGGAGTCTCCAAAGAGGACCACAGAGAGGTAGCGGTCCACGCTCATGCAGGTGAGAAAGAAGATGCTTCCAAAAAGGTTGACACTGAAGATGAGGTGGGTCAGCTTGCACATGATCTCCCCAAAGGGCCAGTGGCCGTGCTGCACCAGAGAGCTCACCCAGATGGGCAAGGTGGTCACTACACACAAGTCTGCAATGGCGAGATTGAGGATGTAAAGGTGGGTCTCATAGCGGTTCCTCTCAGCACGCAGGTTCACCCACACCACCACTGAATTGGCCACCAGGCCGATGATGAAAACAAAGATGTAGAAGATAGACATTGTGTAGAGGACAGCATTTTTGTTGAAACTGATAGGGCACACTACTGTCTCGATCACCTTACTGGATAAATTGTCTTCCCGGTCAGTAAAGTTAAGATCCTGAAGAAAATCCAATAATTCTTCCATGTCGATACTCATTTCAGGTCGATTTCAGATGTCTCCTACAAAACCACAAATAAGAAGGTGTTGAAGGTTTACATGAACAAAGTTACAAAAAGCTTCATGGATCACACTGAACTAGAGTATTCCCTTATATCCATTAAACACAGAACTGAACCAAACATTTAAACAACTTCTTACAAATGGTAACAATGACAATTATTTTAATTGATATCAAAATATCAGGGGAGAAACAATATAAATAACATAAAAAAAATCAACAAACTGTACAAATGTATGTAAGAAAGCGGTGTAACAATTGTGTTTTTGAAAAAAATCGAAATATGCATAATCCATTTTCTAATAAAAATGTGTTAACCTCTCAACAACTGTAAGACCTTGCAGTGTCTGGAAATGTTAAGTTTGTTACTGCTTTTTGTCAATTCATTTTTCCTTTCAAAAACTGAGTCTAAAACACATTGGTAAAAATTGGTAAAAGCTTCTGTGTATAATATATATATATAGGTTTCACATCCCCGTTAATTGTTCTAGATAATAACAATGCTGACTTTTTATTTTAATGTTTTCCAGTCATGCTTTAAAAGGTGGTGCCATAAAGATTATGAAACGAGATAGTGTTTCTGTGTTTTTTATTATTTGCAAAGCTGGATAAAATAATAGGCCTTGCCTGTTTCCCCATCATATACAAAACATTTTTAATTGTTTCCACATCAGTCCTAATCTGTCAATACCACCGAGTATTTGAACTGAACTTGTCCTTGCCAGGAAGTTCAAAGTGAGGAATTATCAGACTCTAGATGCCCTGTTTTGACATCTGAGTTTAATCTACAAAAGAAACTAATGAAATAAGAATATGCTTGTGGCCTACTAGACCCCTAGGGAGCTGGAACGTAGTTCAGTGTGAGGGAGGGCTCTAATGCTCTTTGTTTTATCTACTGTATATCAACATGAATTATCTCACTTCTTTTTTAAAAACCTACAGAATACATGTATGGTATTATGCATTCACTGTTTCTAATCGTACTGAGAATGCATAAGCAAAAACACACTTCAATAGCTAAAATGACATGAACATAAATATGCAGTTGAAGTTTTTCATTATAAAGGGAGCTGAAAAGTGTTAAATGGAAACTATAAGACTACTTGGATCCAAACAATTTGCAAAGCCACTGTTGACTAGGAAGGTACCTTGAAGAAGAAAATACAATCACGAAAAATCCTTTATAAAAACCTACACAGTTTTCACAAAAAAAGTGTTTTAAAGCAAAATTAGGAGATGAGTAGCAAGGCTAAATTCTTTTATTTTTAGGAATGCAGATTTAATGAGGTTTTTGAAACCAGTCAGATCTTCAATGCACGTACTTTACACAAGAGTAATGTATATCATTGTATTGCAGGACTGTGGGACATTAACAGCCTTCACCTCTGTCCCACATACAGCTTCAGAGCTCACACTGCTTACTGGCAAGCTAATCTTTATGATAAAAGAACACACCAATTCTTCTTATGTGTAATAACATCTTGAGATGCACCAACATGAGAGAGTGCATTTACTAGAAGACTACCAAGTTAGTCTGGAGACAATCACATTTGAGAGCCCCAGGTCTAAAAGGAAAGAAACGTCTAATTAACAAATTTATACCTTTAAATTAGGTGCTCTGATAAACTGAAAGGCTGGACTGCAGTTAGAACGTAGGTGTAACAGGATCCTAGGCTCTGTGTCAAGTTAAATGTTAGTCCAAAGGGAGAAGAGGACAGAGGCCCGAGGGCTATGTACATTTAAAGCCTATAACTGTCTGCAGCCAAGGTCATAAATGATCCCTAAAGGCTACATTCAGCAGTTCTCGACATGCAGTGTTTGGGAAGCCAGCAGGCACACTGGGAACTCTTTTTGATGGCACTCTTAATGTTATGGCTCCATGCTGTGTTTGTAAGAGTAGAGTGAGACACCAGCACACTGGAATGTACCCCAAGGACATTATGCACCCAATCCCATTTTGTATTCTCACATAAAATGCTGCATATACTTACACAGACATTTACCTGCTTAAACTCTTCTCAAGAGGCTTAAATTAAAGGCGTTTCATGGAATACACAGTGAGTGACGAAATTCACACATGAACTGCAATAATGACACTGCAAATGAATGGTGCTATTTTCAGTAACTGCTTCTATATACATAACCATCTCTTCTAGGTCAGCTTTTGCTATTCAAATAAGAATATGGCTGATAAAGCAGATTCAAGGGACTTAAAATGATGATGGATGTAAGCATGGCACTATTATGAAACAGTCATGAGGTAGGACTACATGAATAAACTAGTTCTAGTTGATGAGGAGAACCACTTAATACTTAATGTGAAAGGAGATGTATACATACATATAAACCACAGCAATACTTTCCAATTAGGCACTATTTGAGGTTTTAGATGAAAGCTGCTAAGACGCTATTGTATACAAATATATATGATTCCCCCCCCCCCCATATTAGAATGTATAATTTAAGACTGTCAAACTATTCCAAGGAGCTTAATCAATTTTGAGCATTTAAAAGATGGAATGAAAAGGAAATATATTTTTCATCCACTGCTTCAGATTACATAATGAGATCGCTCACTTTAGCTGGCATTTGTCTTCCCCAAAAGTAATCAGAGCCTTGCAGAGACGTAACATTTCTCAAAAGTTATTTTTGTTACGATGTTCGTCACTGTAGCCTGTCTGGACTGGTGAAAAGACAATGACTAAGCTCGTCTTGACACACCACAGACTGCTGCATGCCTGAAAAAGCTGACAAAAAGCAGGTTTTCACCCTGGGACACACGTGCACAAGACGATAGGTCAATCAAATTTAAATGAGTTATACAAACGTGATTTGTTCTTCTGAATATAATAAAATGTTGCTGCTCTACACTCCCAATTCCCTATAAATGGGACATGTTTACAGTTCAGAAACAGAACAGCCCTTCACCTCATCCCTTTGGCTCATCAGACCAATGCTTTTTAGCACAAAAGGCTCCCTGTCTGGATGCAACTGCTCCCAGAGGTCTGAGTTCTTGCACTCACACCAATGCAAAACCTGCCTGCACTCTCTCACTGTAAAACATATAGGCAGAAGATTATATATTTCCAGCCTTTCAGTGTTTAAACATGTTAGGTGATATGCATGTCAGATGGTTTTATTCACTCTGTCAAAGAGAGATCCTTCCAATAAATTGACGTTTTATGTCATCAACAAGGAGTCTAAGTTAGAATAAGAAAGCCGTGCAAGTTTTGTGAATTTTAAATGTTAAAATTCAAAATAAACTAGCAGCTCTTGTGAATAGGTAGATAACCATTCCATTAGCAACAGCTCTCTGTGATCATTAGTGATTATTTTTTTAAACAATTTAAGATTGAAATCTAGGTTGGGAAAGAAATTAAAAATGTATTAATCTAGATTTTTGATATAACACCAATCTAACTCAGCATTGGATTCAAACACATTATTGACACTATGTTACTACAATTATGACATAGATTAGAAAGAATTCATAAATAGAAAAAAAAATCTTAATCTAAAGTGTGTCTTGAAAAAAATTCCACATGAAATAACATTTTTTTTACCATGAGAAAGATACAAATCATAAGATCTTTTGATTATATTACATTCTTTACCAGACAATGAAGCTTAGTGGGTCCTGAGAGGATTATGAACAGTAGGATCTGATTTCTTTACTGTAATAGCATTGTACTTGAAGCATAGTCTTTCATCAGTGCCACTTTTCATAGTCCAGGGCAGTGCTGAATGAATCAGAGAGGATGAAAAGACAACAGAGTGAAAAATGTTCTGGTTACATATGATCTAATTCGTAGGCTAAACTTCCCAACACACGCAAAATGTAAGAGCCTTTTCATTAAGGCAACGCTACAACCCACAACTCGCGTGACGTGACAGGTGTTGGAACAGAAATCTGATCCTTTTGTTATTTAATGGATTTGTTTTCAATTATTTAACAACCTTTTGAGCCCCAAAACAAAAGCCTTACCAGTGAATCACGGGTGGGTACTTGACTGCATTGTGTCGTAATAACCCCTTTTAAACCGCGCTCCTTTTGTTATTTTTTTTATGCATTTTCCCGCGATCTAGCTGTGTTTTACCCACTCTAGGAGGAGGAAACCCCCTTGTAATTTAATAGTACTCTTCAGAAGAAAGGCGCATTACCTTGGTTACAGTAAAGCACGCAAGCACCTATTTAGCTCTGCGCTCCCTGGATCGGCTAAACCACATCTCACGTAATGTCAAAACCGCACCACCAGCAGACTCAAAGGCTTCCCATCCTAACAACGTATTTTCAGAATTGTGGCAAAAACAATCTGCATCCCAGGCAATAACAGCTGCCGAAAGCGAAGACGGAGACATACTTCGAAGACTCTTTTCTGTTTATTTATCTGTTAGAGATAAGTAGTTTTCTTTGTTTCCATTATCCGATGCATCCGTGAGTAACGTGTAGCCGCAATCTTTTAATATCCGAACACCTGGTTGCATTAATTAACGTTTACGTTTTGCTTTAAAATGGAGGATTACACTCGTGTTAAAAACAAAACACTAACTGGGCAAAAAAAGAACCTTCATTGCGCCGAAGTGTTAACAACCGTGATAACAGCTACAGTTTCCTTGCAACTGTTTCTTCCATTATTAAAACAAGTTTCAAAGTAGCTAGTATTAACATTAAAGACGAGACAAATGTACTGGCAAATAATGAAAACTGCAGCTCCCGAGTTACACTCGCCACACAAATAAACATAAATCAGTTAAAGTATCTAAGGCGAACACACGCTTGCCATTGAATCCAACCATAAATTGGATTTTCTGTTCCGTGTGCAAATTTATTCAGCTAATTCTTTCCTCAGCCTATTGAACTCAGCATTAAGGTACGGCGTTTCGAAGTTCTCCGGATGTTTGACGCACAACTGAATTTAACGCTCGTTTCTGTAGTTCGGTCCATGTGTAAAACATGTTAATTAAATCTGGGAAAAATCATTCTTTACAGATAACAGGAAAAAACTCTAAAAGAAAAAAAAAACCTAATGAGATTGTAGATTAGATATAGCGTTTAAGAGAATATGCATGTTTGTATCTCTATCAATATGGTATAAAATCCTTATTTAAGAATTACATTTAAGAAAACCCGATTTTTATTAAACCAAGGTGAGAGTCCGCACTACTCTCTTGCTTGAATAAACAACCCACTGATCTCAACCTAACCTCACTTTAACTGCAGCATATTAAGTGGCTACCGACACTACAATAGCACCTTTGATATTATTGACAGAAAAACAGAGAGAGAAATTACTGGTTCGGGTTCATAAAAACGTGAATTCCCTCGCAAGTACATATCCCAGCTATCACACTGATGGCCATCTTGCGGAACCTGGCTTCACTTCAATGAAGACAAGTCTCTGGGGGGATGAGACCTCACTGTTAGTCTGCATCACCAGCTGTGAAAGGCAGGGGAGCTTTTTAAACTTCATTGACTACTAATAGAAAGCACAGTAGTGGGATGCACAGTTAATCTGAACAACGCCGCAGACAAATATTAGCATAATAATCGTCCCTTCACCAGATTCTCAGTAGGTCCGTCCTCACTCTTCAATTTACAGTAGTTTGCGCAGGCTTGGGTTGGCATTTCAAAATGAGTAAAATATCATATATTTATATCTAAATTTAAAAAAACGTTGCCAGATCTACAGCACTATCACATATTAGGCTGCACTAGTATGTTCAATTTATATCAACTACATTTATTCTTAAATCCAAAGCAATAAGTATCTCCTGGTAAAATACTTTAAAACCCCAATCATTTGCATGAACACAGCTCTAGCTCCAGAAACAACTGAACAAAACGTACCTGTGTTTTTGTGAAATCCTTCCTTTCACGTCTGATATTTTTGATTTGCGACGTGGACTATGCAAATGGAAACTGCGTGTTTTATATACTAATTCAGCTGATGAAGTACTTCGCCAAGTACCCTCCTCTCCGCACTGTGGAACTGCAGTCTTCGCCCCTGCACTTGTTAATATACTACGAAGAGCAACGCCTCCCTCCCTGAGCAAGTCTAAAGGGCTGGTTCATTGAACCCAATGCCAAAAAAGATTGACGAACGTGCTCCGAGTCTCCTTGCAGTCCCTCAGAAAACTCCCTTGTTGGATCACACAACTGCTTTGTTTCCTGCTTCTTGATTAGGAATCTTTGATTACTTATTATAACCGCATGAAACTACATGAAGTTGCTTGCTTTCGATTTGAAGGTTTTGTCAGAAAAAAGGCAAAACTAACTAATAATATTTCTGCTATTCTGGTAGGGAATAAACCAAATGTTTTTATTCCTGTGATAAATTTATAGGCTAAGGCTCGGATAGGAAAGAGAACAGGAAGACGTGTAGACTGCTTTTCAACGAAACGAGAGTTTCAAGTCTAATTTAATGCATATCATAATCATGGAAAATATGAATCCACTATTTGAACACATACATACTGTATACTCCATATAGGAGTCAAAATCAAGTCCTTAATTCAGATGTTTTAAGGTTTCTATTTGCTCCTATTTCGGCTGTAACCGGATATGACAGGAAAAGACGATCGACGAATACGTCTCTATAAATTTGACATACGAATTAAAACATACTCATAACACTGTAGCAATTGTTTATCTTTTCTCTTGGATCAATAATCAGTGTCATTTTCGAGTTGAATTTATACTAAAGATGCCACACATCTCTGAACGATTAGCTTTTCTGTAGACCCGGGAAAAAAAACCCGGTAAAAAAGGTAACGCTTTAAAAAATGAAGGTGCCGTGATAGAAGCGATTCAGCAGATACGTGGATCAGGAAGCAAATTAAATCTTTCAACACTCAATAGTCATATCACCTCGAATTCCACCTTACGGCACCCTCGGCTTCTTTAGCAAGGATGCACAGGGGCACAACTCTGGTTCAGTGATTGCAGTTTCACAATCACGCACAGCTCCTATTACCGATGCGCATGTTGTACACGATGAAAAAAAGGGCATTTAGGCAAATGCGCTATTTAGGCTTATATAATTGAAGATTCCTCAACAGGTGATACAAAAATTGACTAACATTATCCGGGCCAGCTCCGGACAACCACATTCAAAGCCCGTGACCGACTAGAGCAGATTGAAGATGACCCACAACAAAACTGCCTGGATTTAGTACAAAATGGTACCGATTCTGTTTGTATTTTTCAAAAAGACTTTTACATGACAACTATTAACTGTTATTACGCCTCACACGTGTTGAGAATGCTTATTAAAGAAACTAGAGATAATCAAAGTTGTTGAAATTAATAAAGTGTAAATTGTCTCTGCTAATGTTAGCGCTTATCGAGTAGATATTTAATAGAGGTCTTCAAATGTATTGTAGAACTCATTTTGCAGCCCTTGTGTTGACTTCGTGGGTGTTGACAACAGAAGGAAAACTAGTTCGTAAAATAACATCTTGTAGAATTTTAAGAAAATATTGATTATTTAGATAAGAAGCATGGGCATCTCCATTCCAGTGCTTCATTTTCGAATACGCCTTTTCCTGATATATATATATAGGCTTACGATTACTCGACTGTTATAAATCAACCTTACTCTTTCTGTGTCACAGGAGCTTTTGATATGATTTTCAGGCTAAATCTATTATACATACATTTTATAGTGTCGCTGACTGCCACCAGGGGTCACCCATAATGTATAAAGACTAATGTCTGCGTAGAGCCACACGTAGACGCGCATACTAAATCATTTGCATGCGTATAGACAAATAATAATAAGGCACACAGAGAACTGTTTACAGAGAGTTTATAATATATACTAAATAATCTAAAAAAAACATTTTTTCTCTGAAACCACAGATTATAACAATATCAGAACTTGCTAACACCACTCGTTTAAACGATGACAAAAAAATCGTGAAGCTTTAATCTGGTCCCTTTGAACGCGTAAATACTGTATGTACAGCAAGAAAACATCGTTAGTTGTCCTCAAGAAGTTGGAGAGCTTTACTTAAAAAAAAAGAATATTATTTCCGTCTCTGGCAAGAGAATTCCGTTTTGATTGATCCTGTTTTTTTGTCGCTGGAAGTAGGCATGCACACTACATACTGTACTGTATCCTCTTGAAATAAACACAAACATTTCCACGAGCCCTTCACGCCGCCTCTGTATTGTCCGACAGGGCTCACCTGTTTCTGCCGCTCTCAGCTGTGTGTCTATATTTACCACTGGCTACAAGCCAGGCACTAATTGTGAAGGACTGGTCTGAGATGCTAAGTGGCATAGAATGGTCTGGGTACCCCATTCTAATAATATTATTGTTAATGAAAAGCATTTCAGAAACACCTGTTATTATATTAACCCTTTCGCCCTGCAAGAATGGCCCAGTATTTATGGGCTATGTGATCAGACCAGAAGAACACATGAAAATAAGAAAGGTTACAAATAAGAGCAGGACCTTTAGCCCATCACATTTATTTGGTAGCTACAAACAAATTGATCCCCCAAAATTCTTGAAAGATCCCAGGGTACCAGCTCCTACAACACGGGTTTGGGTAGCCTGTTCAAGACGCCCACAACTCTTTTCAGAAAGGAGAGTCTACTAATCTCGGTTACACAGATGGTGAGGAAAAGAAGGCAAGTTGTAAACGTATTCACCCCTTTCTAATGATGTCCCATTTTCATTATTACACATGAACACTGCCAAGAAATAAAAAACTCAAATGCAATGTTGATTGCATAAGTGTTCATCCCTTTGCCTGACTACTACTGAGTCCATCGTTCGCAGTAATTACAGCAGGAGGCTTGTTTTGAGAAAATACTGTACTTTTGGAAAGCTTTGTATTTATTTCTTAACATTAAAGTAATAAATATTATGATTACAGCATACAAAACAATGTGCTCAGAGGAACTAAACTGATAGAATTCATTAAAGCATCAAAAGATTGTAATATATTTTCAAAGCTCTTTTCCAAACAAATATGTTATGGTTTTGCAGAACCTTACTTTGTTTAGCCAAATACATTTAATCTCTTTCAGGGGTATCTATGCCTAGGTCATACCTATACAAGTTAAAATAAAGTATATTCTCCTTCCCTTGGTCAAAATCAAATTTGAGATTTATATCCTGCAGTTCTCTTTCCTTTAGTGGTGTTACAACTCCCTTTAATCATTTTTAAAATAAATCTGTAATTGCATTTAACAGCTTAATTAATTCCATCAGTTCCTTACATTCACAGCCCAGAACATTTCACAGCACATAAAGCAGAAAAAAAATGAATCCACTTTTTTAGTTTTGTTGAATGAAACACATGCATTTCTTTTGTCTTCCCATATCAATAAACTGTTGATTGTATTTCAAAATCTCCCACAAATGTACACTTGTTTCTTAATGTTACTGCCAATGTCTTTTTTTTTCTTGCTTTTTTTAAACCAGGGAAGGATAGGTCTTATTGCCAGAAGCCTTGAAATGAACACAGTGGATGTCGTGAAGGCAGTAACAGATGTCTAAACAATACAGCTCCATCTCCTTTGCATCTGGGCTGAACAACAGGTCCAGTCTACAACAGGGAGAAGGAAATTCACAAAACATCCTGTGCCTGCACCTGATAACAGGACCTTCCGAGATAACTTTTCCCACAGTTTTCACAGCTCCAGTCGTTGTAAGTTATGTGCATTAACTAGGGCTCTCTGCTAATAGCTGTTTTCGTCTTACAACAGCTTTGTGAAACCGTCCTTCAGAACTCCCACTATGTAAAGTGTGAGTTAACGTTTACCAAAGGGTTCTATGGCATTGCCACACATTGTATGGAAAAGCTGTGTGTAGCTGAATGGAAAGATAAAAGCATGCATTGTCCTTAGATTTTCTTTTAAAAAATACAAATATTGTACCTCAGTGTGATCTTCCACAGTTTGCTCTAATTTCACAGTTTGGACAGGGGATAGGATAGGAGGGTGAAAGAATCAGTTTTATTGTTCATCACTATTACAGCATAATAAAATTTATTTGAAAGCAATGAAAGGCAGATGGAAATGTCTAACACTGACGTGATTTAATACATCTACGCCTTCTCAAAAGACCTAAAGAAGCAAATGGCTTCCTTTTCTAGATTAAGTGTTAAAATAAAATAAAATGAACCCCATTCCCCTCATTTCGATATTGATAGGCTTTCTTTAAGCTTGAGGGCAACTTACACTGAGAAAGTGAAGTGAGACCTGTGAGCAGCCAAAATCACAAACCCCTAAATCCCTCAGTTCTTTTCAATGTTAATCTCAGTTGGAATGAATGGAAAAGGTCAATGAAATATGAAGAACTTTGCCTGAAACACAGATCTTCAGAGTCAAACATAAACGCTTAAGATAAGGCAGAGAAAATGGTGCCTATGAAGCAAAAGGAGTAATTTTTGGGAAGATGTACTGATATTGTCCCCAATAATCTGGTGTGCAATATAATTGTTAGGTGCGTCTGGAATGAATGAATGCTTTTAGTTACATAAATAAATTAATTGAAATGCCACACACATTGGTTCTCCTTTTTTTTTACACGATAACAGTGGATTTCAGCCAGAAGTGAACAAAAGGATGCAATGCCAAAATTCAATTTTGTTTTTCTTGGCTTCTCCTTGGGATTTGTACCCTTAACAGTTTACTCTGGGAACTAACAGGAGTGACATGAGACATTTCCACAAAACATACAAGCAAAACGTATTCTCAGCTTATAAATATGATATATATGATGCAAGGCATTGGACAAAATATGTATATACTTTATAGATCTTGTTTGATCATTTTTGGACAGTAGGTTTATACTTCTCAGGGTGGTCCATTAAAATGTTTTTGAAGTGGTTTATTTCATAATCAACTGTATTTTAATTTACAAATAATTTCGGTCATGGGACTGTAGTATAAACAGTGCCAAAGCCTCCCTTATAGCCCAACTCTACAAAATATAAATCAGTCTTTCTGTAGAGCTTCCTCTGGTCACTTTTACACAAACTCACCAGAACTGTGCAAGTATACACATATCAGTTCGCATACACACATTTTACGTCATTGGGAAGGCCTTTCCATTTACTCTTGGCAAAACACTAACATCTAAAATGTGTGTGATTTGTACCATACTGATCAAGATCCCTTGGAGATTTCAATATTGGCACTGTGGTGTTGGAAAAATATTTCTGGAGCAATTAAATAAGTGTGTAGGTAAAACATATTCACATATTTTATGATGTATATTGAACCTTATGAGACATCAATTGATTGAGTCAGTCCTTCACATTGTATACTGTCCACATCAAATACCTTCCACCACTTATGAAAAGGAATGGCACTCTTTCATTTCCAGCAGGGAACAAAAGATGAAGTCATAGCCTGGGATGCAAGATAAAGTGTTTTGCAAAAGTATTCATCTTCAACCAATAGTTCTGATGTATTACAAATGTAAGGTACACATTTTTTTTCAGATGAACTGAACAATGTTATATGTGAAGGAGATTGAATAATACACAAACAGTAATTTAGTAATTGCATAAGTATTCAGTCCCCTAAGCCAGGACTTTATGGAAGCTCCTTTGACAGGTTTGACAGTAATTACTACGGGAGTGTTTTTGGATGAATCTCCACCAGATTTTCACAGTGGGATGGTATAATAGTTGGCCATTCTTCATGGTAAAATTAGTCCAGTTCTGACAAGTTCATTGGGGATCCTTTAAGGACTGTGAACTTCACGTCTTGCCCTATATTTTCTACTGGTCCCAAATCAGAAATTATTGACATGCTCTCTCCTCATCAAACTACCATGCCATACATTCTACTTCAGGTTTGGTCATTGTCCTACAGAAAACTGAATTGCTGGGCTTCAGATTGTTGACAGGCTTTGTAGGATTTTCTTCTACAGTATGTCCTCTCAATCCTGACCAACACCTGGCAAGGGTTAACCACTGTGTTGGATGTGCACCAAACAAAATGCTCTGAATTTACTTCACTATTTATCTCGTCTTACCAAAAACCCTTCCGCTGCAGTATCATTTACAAGTTTTGCCATGAACTCTTTTGCAGTACTGGCTTCTTTCTTGCTACTCACCCAAATAGGTCATCTGTGGTAGGGACGGGGATATTGTCAATGTATGGTATGAACATTAACTCCCATCCCATCTTAGACATAGAACCTTGCAAATCATTCAGAGCCTCTGTTGGAATAGACCACTAACCAGTTTCCTGTTTGATTGCACCACTTTGATCGCACAACGAGACCGTTATACTCAATGTGGGACCTAAACAATCTTTTCCCCTTGAACTAATTTAGGGTTGCTGTAGAGAATTATTTGAATACTTAGGAATTCTATAAAAATCTGCAAGCATTTTTTAGTTTTATCCAATAGACCGTGTACATTCTAAATCCTAATCCAACCTAAATCCTCTTAATCCTAATTGAAAGTGTCAAATTGTGCCTCCTAACAGGGGGGTAAATAATAATGCAGGATGTCCTGAACTTACATACTGTAGCAGTTTTCATTCTAAGGGATTCCAGATCTCTTTATACTGTATATTCCATTTTTTCCCCGAGGCATATCCCTAATACTATGAAATTAAATTTACTTACGTTTCGTACACCAAGTCATTCTTATATTTAAAATTATTATATTGTATGGTATATAATATAGTCTATATTATATTGAAAAGTCATTATTATATTGTATATTAAGATCACATAATGCTTTTGTAACAGCCTGTCGTCTGCAGAGTGCAGACCACAATGCAGGGTAAAGACATTGTGCATTTTGGAATTGATGTTACACTTCATTGGTCCAACCATTCATTACTAAAACTTAAGTTTAAGTGCACAATAAATATTAGGTGAAAAGAACACGATTGAAACAACGCCTTTTATCCACTTACCATTGAGAAAATCGTGTGTGACTATTTCGATCGTATTGGTTACTAAATTCAACAGTAAACAATTTATTTCGTGAAGGTTCGCAGATCTTTAAATATTAGATCGTATCAAAAACTATAAATTACTTAGATCACTCTGTCCCAGAATACGCTTTTCTTTTAGCACAACGTTAAAAAAAATGTCTGCGTCTTGGTGTTCTGAAATTCGAAATATTCCAAGCGAGCGCCGTGAGTTTCTGCTAAATCCATTTCTTCATTCTCGTAGCAATCCAATGTCAGCGGCTTCACACTCTGCACCTTGGATACGGAATAGTGCGCAGGCGTGGCGTCTTGTTGTTAGATGCAGTGATGTTGTAAAGCAAGTTTGGAAGCATACAGCCGTTTCTGTGAGGTTTCAAAACATTTTATAATTTAGCATTCATCAGGCCGTACTAAGGTAATGTGAAATGACCTTGACAGTCGGTCAGAAAGCCAACAACCAAATAAAACTGGAAACACCTGAACTTGCGGTTTGTGTTTTTTTCAAGATATTGGTGAGTTTTTGTGTCTAGTTTCTTCTTACAGATTTTTTGTTCATTGTGGACTTTGAAATATAAAAAAAACCGTGTAACTGTATCTGTTCCAGTTATTCTATTTGATTCCCGTAGTAATATGTCATTTTAAGTGCAGTTATCTTTAATACTTATATGAAATACCTAATAGGATACGTAGCTCTACGTGCAGTAAAACTGAAAATTGTGCATAAGAACATGTTTTGTCGTTTGAAGTAATCACATACTGCTTTACCTATGCCCAAAAAGCAGTATTATAATAAAATGCCACATTCCCCTCTTTCTACTAGATTAAGGTTGAAGGTTGTGTGCATGTTGTCCTTTCTGGAATGAAACATTTGCATCTTCTGTAATCTCTGAGGATCTTTTCTTCGTGGTAGTTTTTTAGATCATATACTTAATCTACAACTGTAGAATGGTTTGGGAATATGATCTATGCTTGCTGTTTATAAGGAGAACCAAACTTTTTTTAAAAGGCCTTTTAAACACTGAATATATACAGTTTATACATACATAAATTGTGAAGTGGAAAGAGTTTATACATATATAAATTGGGAATTTATATACAGTATGTACACACATAAATAAAGTGGGAGGTCTGTTGTTAAAAAATATCAAATATGAAGACTATTAATGCTGTTATAGCTCTGCTTATATATGTACAGTATGAGATGCAGCCTGCAATACTAATCTTTATTAATTATCCTAGGATCTATGCTCTTCAGAATCAGATGTAATGCAGAGAGAGTAAGAGAAACAGCAGGACTGTCTGAGCAAAAAGTTGGCAAAATAAAAAAAGCATGTCTCACAGGTAAGCATTTCCAACTTTGTAATGGGGGTTGCCATTATAAAGCTAAGTCATCACATCAAACCAGACCTGCAGTCTTAAGCTTTTATCCAAAGCTTTATTTTTGTTTGTGCAAAAAAAAACTGACGCTGTTGCATGACCAAATAGTGGACAAAATGTTTTTTTTTTTCCAGAGGAAATTCCTGTCGATAAGAAAGTAAATTACTAAAACTATATGTACAGACTAGTATGAAGTAGCAGGTTACAGTCTATTTCATATGCCAATGCAATATGATTCCAATGCATAACCATACTTTGTCATACTGACACTCACTGTCAAATGTTACCTCAGTGATTAACTTGTAGCAAAAGAGTTTCCAGACCTCAACCACAGCACGATTGCTGGGTACCACCCACTTCATAAAACATAATACATCTGATCCATATCTCTTTTTAATGTTTGCTTAACATATGTACATACACATAAACATTTTTGATTATACAACATGTATTAAATAGTAAAGTAAGAAATATTTCTTACCAGAGATGTTTTATGAAATACAAATTCAAAACACAGTACCAGATATTCATGTCTTAAGAATGCTTTTCTAGTCCATTTACATTTTTTGTGATTTTTGTTCTCTTTTGTCTTGTTGTCACATATTATTGATCTGTAAATAATGTTATTCTCACCTGTGTAACAGAAAGGTAAAGGTTTTAGGATCCAGTTCTTTTCAAATGAACTCTTTGTTGAATGCGCTCTTCACTGTTTGCTTTTTGGTGCAGTTTGTGCATGAATAGAAAGTGCTTTTAAATGTTTATCTCATGTGAAAACCTAAGTTGATCGCTGGCACAAAATCTAATCAGATTTGTAAATATGAAAGCTACATGTATTCAAAGTAAATGCGTCTAAATGGATTAATGAATAGCAAACAGTAAGGTATAAGGGGAGTAACCTCTGACTGGGCCAATATATGTAGCTGTGCACTACAGGGTTTTATGTTAGACCCTGTTGCCCTTCCTAATGGTGTATGGTGAAATTCTACGCAATAAGTACAGAAGCATTTTCCACAACATGCATTATAGAAGACTGAGATTACTACCACTGTGCTTCAGAATTTGCTTGGAACTACACAGAGGAGCCACACTTTTACCAAAGTGATGAAAAGGGTTAAAATGTGGAGAAAGGCAGTTACTTCCAATGATCACTACGTCATAGCCTGGTCTTGGCTTATCCATATTTCTATACTTACTGGGTAGAGCTTCACCATGCAGTATGGTCATGGCCCAAAACATGAGGCCAATTCAACCAAGGAATTCCACGTTAATCTCCAGATCCCCCCAAAAAATTAACCATTAGATTTTACATGATGAAGTAAAAACTGAAGGTGTAACATCCCATAACAGGCAAGGAAATTGGCTGTAGAACCCATCTCGGATGGTTACATTGAGTTAGTGGGCTCAGTGGGTCGCAGAGTTTGTGCATTTTATTCCTCAAACACATATGCAGCCAAATACTGACTATTGCACGCTGAAATATGTTTAAATTGAAAGTATTCCAATCATTTTGATCACTTGAAATCACTGGTTTGAAAGTGAGTTTTAGTTCTCATATATTGTATGCATGAACTTACTCAAAACAAATATTTATTGTAAAACAAAAGAAAGATTTTGACTTGAGTTGTCTAAATGCATTTGTAGGGAACTATAATTGTTGAAAGCACTAGTGAAGGCTTTGAGTAAATTGTTGATAATCATAACATATACTAATACATTGCAACTTCTGATTGAGTCAATGATGTCTAAGACATCTGCACTGGTGTATATGTGGCCTGAGTGAAATGTAAATGTTGTGAAATCCCCTTGTTGTTAAGAGTTGAGCTTAATTAGCTAATACTGTAATTAGGTAAAACTATTTGAATTTTCTTTTAATCTAGTACAACAGGAGTATCTTATTTACATTGCAAGCTAGTAATCAGTCCTTTATGTATTTAATAGCTAACAGTAGTAGTAATGCATGGCTGCAGAGAGCTCGCATCAGCTAATGATGCCGTCTGTTTTGTGTCTGGTCATGGGACTTGAAAAACTGAAATAATCTGCGGTAATTAAAGGGCTTGTCTTGACACCATAACATTATATATGGTTGTATCTTGCTTTGAAATTGCATATAATTTTAAGGTTATTATACTTTGGGGAAAAAATTATGAGGAAACTTTTTGAACTTGTTGTGTTTATAAATTCACAGGATAGTTCGTAGATGTTGGGATTGTTTTGGAACCTCCCTTGCTTTTTTAAAAACAATATTACTTTTGGAACAGTTTTTCAATTCCATTGTTGGCTGCTGCTGTCTTATACCAATGTGTGTAGAACAAAACAAACAGAGTTCAAAGTGTTTCCTTCATTCTTACTGTCTTAATTGTCATTTTGGGTGTTTCTTTACATCTGTCTTGAGTTCATGTTTGGCCATATATTAGAAAAAAGGCATTAAGGATAAGGGTAGATTAAGCAAAGATAAATGCAGACTATTGCAGTAATATCCTTGTTGTAAACACCACCGCTCCATTGTATAAACTATTAAGGAGCAGATTTTCCATGGACAGCACTAAGCTGTCCAAAGTTTGAGGAACATTCTGTTAGTAAGCTCCTTTATGTGTGATGCCATGGCTAAGGGAAAACACACTCCAAATAAAAAGATGTAAACAAGAGCCCACAGCGAGAGGATGTATACATTGTGTTGTTGTTCCTATAGCGACACAAAAGCTAGTGTAAACCTGACCTTCATCCCCATCTCCACACAAGAAACAGCTACTATGTTGGTCAGGTAAGCACCTGGGAACCTGGAAGCATGAAAGCAGTGTAGCAGAATTCTTTTAATGAGCATGCACAACAATACAAATCATTATCTGCCCTGGCATTGTTAAGTCTGAATTGCTAGCTGTCTATTAAATCATTCAGCAGGCAGTGATTTCAAGCCCAAGAGGCTCCATGGCCAGGGGTTGTCAGCCTCAAGACACTTTCCATTTTCCATTAAGCCTCTTTCACTGTGACGGGCCTTGTCAGGTGATGACTGTCACACAGGGCTGTCTCCGGACTTAATCTGCCTTGAAAACCTTTCTGTGCAACCCTTTTATTCTGAAATTCCTTCATTACAGCTTTGCTGAGGTTCTACATGTTAGCCTGGTTCAAAGGATTGCTCTGCTTTTTTTACTTCCTTTCAGAAGTAGTGCAACCACCCCCCCCCACCTCCACTCCTTTGAGCTCATTCCTTTTCAAGAGCTAAAGAAGTTCTTGTATTCAGCCTCACCCTTGTCTTGGGGGCAGCTCAGAAAAGGTGAAGTGCTCCACATACTGTTGCCCCTGTGAAAAGGAAAATTCTCAGTATTCCTGTATACCCTCCTCTGGTATAAGACTATTCTGCTAAGAGGACTTTCTTTGGCAAATCGGTATTTACAGTAAACATTTCTGTTAAGTGCTAACATTCTGTAAGAACCCAAAAAAAAATCAACTATAATTTTAGATGACAAAGTTAATTTGTAATGTTCCCCAGACACAGGGACATTGCTATTCACATTTCTATTCATAATAGCAATGCCCAAATTCATTACCTATCCTGGAGTGATCAAAGGACTTTGTTTTCAGAAATACTCAAATGACAAATAATTCTTCATGTGATTGTGTTCATTTGCTCCTTCAAACCGTACCCTTGGGAATTGTGTGAATACTTTGGCCCATATGGTTTCCCTGAAGTTTTGTTTTCCTTGTGCATCATTGTCAGATTTATTCTTCTTTGTTTTGTAAAATTATCTCCTCATTCTGAACAGTAGAGTGGCTTATAGTAATGTTTTGTCTGCCCAAATAAGGTATGAAATACTATTAAAGGTTTCATATTCATGAAATGGGGCATTCCCAGCTGCTGTTCTGATATATTATAGTCAAGGCTTTTATTCTCCAATAACCATTACAGGAAAATCTTTGGAAAAATGTGTCTTGGGAAATTTCAGTTAGTGTGTTCCTGTTACCATATTGAACCAATTGAACACACAAAAGTGAGATTAAATTAGGAAATAAAATTTTACCTTAAGGGCGATCTGATAAACCGGCCATCTACAGTATATTTCTCCTTATATTTTGAATAGCTATTGCCTGTTCCCATCAATAAGGAGAGGTATGCTGTCCTTAGGATGACTGAGTGTTGCTTGTTTAGGACTGGCTGATATTTGCTTGTGTTATCTTTGTGTGGGAAGCATCTGGGGGAATTTGGTAGAGTAAAAGAAATAAGGGAATTAGTGAGGAAGAGAAAATAAAAAGATCATGCAAAATTGAAAAGTTAGATGTCTGTGCACCATTTCAGATTGATCATTATTCAATTGCCATTGTCTTTTGAAAATATTTACAAATTAAATTCATGAAAATAAAAAAAACTAAGGTTGCTGCTGGAAGAGGTGTTTGTGGGGCCAGCAGGGGGCGCTCAGCCTGCGGTCCATGTGGGTCCTAATGCCCCAGTATAGTGACGGGGACACTATACTGTAAAACAAGCATTGTCCTTCGGATGAGACGTAAAACCAAGGTCCTGACTCTCTGTGGTCATTAAAAATCCCAGGGACTTTCTTGAAAAGAGTAGGGGTGCAACCCCGGCGTCCTGGACAAATTTCCTATTGGCCCTTACCATTCATGGCCTCCTCTATGAACTGGCTACATTACTCTGCTCTCCTCCCTACTGATAGCTGTTGTGTGGTGAGCGTTCTGGCGCACTATGGCTCCCGTCGCATCATCCAGTGGGATGCTGCACATTGGTGGTGGTGGAGGGGAGTCCCCATTACCTATAAAGCGCTTTGAAGTGTCCAGAAAAGCATTGTATAAGTGTTGGCAATTATTATTATTAATTATTAAAAGCACAATTTCAGTCTAATATGTTTGCTGAGGATAGAAAATGTATCACTGTTTCTTAGAAACATCAATACATGCAATTTTGATTAATAATAACTGTGCATTCACTTTAGATCTGGTTTGATTTATCATAGGTAATGAGGAGATTTAACCTGTTGAAAGTCAAGCCTAGAGAAAAGAAAGAAAAACGCAGAAAGGCACCAACATGTCGTCTTTATCAAGAGAACATCACCTTTATGCTGTCAGTATGTTAGAGACTGGAATAAAGGAATTGTCTCTTACTGGCATTTTCACAACCAGCAATTTTTAACCTGGCTTGTCCTGACAATAACAGACCATGAACTGGAGGACCACAAGTGATAACACTTCAATTGTTAGGTCCATGTATGATTGTCAGGGCAGGAGAGTCATTAGACAATTTTATTCGTAGTGTTAGATGTTAAGCTGACTGCACAGTGCTACACTGACCAAGTCCTAGGGCTTTCCTGGGTGCTCACCCTGTCCTGACAGGACAATGTATGTGCAACACATGTCCTATGTACAGCAACTTTCTTGTGAGATGAGTTATTTTGCAGACAGACTGCTTACTGGACTTAAGCCCCATTGAAATAAGCTGAGATAACATGTGACATCTAGGGCTCAGAGACCAGTGCACAGGCATTTGCATGTCCAGCTTCTTTGAGACAAATGGGACAGAAGCCCAGCATCTGAAGCTTGGTGCAAAGGATGCCGTACGAATGTACAGCTTGTATCGCTTGCTTCCAGCAATGGTCACACATACCACTAGCCTGTGACTTTCACCAGATTGTCCACCCTCCAGGTTGTTGAGGTTCAATGCAATGTTAGCAGACCGGATACAAAAAATGATTGCCGTTTTCCTGAATATAATGTTTTGAGTATGTTGGAGTTGTAAGTGATAAGTTTGTTTTGACGCCGAAAGGCTTTGATCTTTGATGTGGAAAGAGTTATTTTATATTTCTGAATGTTGGAAAGCTGTTAGTCTTCATCTACTCTATAACCTTTGTACGTTTTCTAGTGCTGGGCTTGGCCACAGTTGTGGGCCTGCTGTTGATTAACCCTGTACGCCATCCTGCCACAGTGTCTACGGGAAGATGTGGGTGGCTGCTCAGGGGGCACTGCAGGATTTGCTGGAGGAGGAGCTGCCTGCTGACCCGCCACGCCCTCAGAAAGACCGTCTCCTCGTCTTCCAGACGCTGGCCACCTTCTATGTCAAGTACCTGCAGGTCCTGCGCGGTCTGGAAGCCGTCTACGACCAGATCGTCCACCCTCAGAAGCGGCGAGTGGTGCGGCACGTGCTGGACGGGGTCATGGGCCGCCTGCTGGAGCTGAAGAACGAGATGGTGGAGCTGGAGTTCTCCGAGTTCCACTACTATGATGACATCCTGCAGGACCTCAAGCTGACCCCAGTCAGTGCTCTTGGGATTCCCTCATGCCCTCATGGCAGATCTGTAGAGAGGAAATATTGTTATTGATTATGGATTTCATTTCTCTCCTTTGCAAGCATGTGATATGCCTGGGTGGCTGAAAAAAATCCTAGGTTAATCAAAGCACTTGGACGAACTAGTCTATTCTAGACAGAAATGAGAGCTCTGTGAAAGCATCAGGATCAGCAATCAGATCGGAGCTGATTGTTATACTACAGTTTTAATAGGTGGCTTGATCAACATCATGATCATGTACCATGAGATCACTTTTCCAAATAACCGATTTATAACTTAAATGAATTAAATTCTGTCCTGACTCACTTGTTTCTCAAGAAAGTTGGTTGCCAATCTTTTGTATACATAAATGAAAGAAAACAGATGATTAGATATTGTCTCTAAAGTGTACAATGCCTATGCCTACTATATTTTTCTACTATATTATTTTCTCAATTTTTCAGTTCTGTCTTCTCCAGTTTTTCATAGATCAGTGTTTACTGGCCAGCCATATTTGTCTCAGGTCAGATTTCTGGCAGATCCATGCTGGCAGTCTCAATGCAAACTGTTTTCATATCCCTTGGGTTTCAGGGTTGAATGGTAACCACATTCAGCTTATGTGCAGTGATGAATGGGGAAAAAAGGTTGGGTTTTTTTATTCACTCATGCATTTTGTTTGACGCTTTGCCAAATATCAAGAGATACCCGTGGCTGTCCTTTCAAGTTATGTTTTTCTTTGGTTAGGAAAACAGGTATTAATCAGAGAAGCTGTCTGTCCCCACAGTGTGTTTTTCTTTCATCTTGGCTTTTTTCCAAATGAATACCAGGAAGGATGTTTAAATAAAACAAGTCTTAATAACTAACACAACTAGAAACCGAAATTAGCTTTCTCTTCCATAGTATCGTTCCCACCATCTTCTGAATAACCGTACAGTAAGAAGATAAAGTCTTTACCTTTACTCCACTGACATGGTCTACAATACCTCTCACAATTTTGGTATTGGAATAAACATATGGCATTGGTTCCTCACAGTGCTGGGGCCCTGGATTCAATTCCAATAGTGTTATCCTTTGTGGAGTTTTGTATGTTCTCCCCTTGTTAATGTGGATTTCCTCCAGGCGCTCTGGGTTCCTCCCACTGTCCAAAGGCATACTGGAAGGTTAATTAGCTTCTGGGAAAATTGACCCTGTGAATGAGTGTGTATGTGTTTGTATCTGTGTGCGCCCTGTGATGGATTGGCACCCGTCCAGGGAGGATCCTGCCTTGCTCCCATTGCTTGCCAGGACAGGGTCCGGTCTCCCCTGTGACTCTGTATTAGAATAAAATGATTAGAAAATTAATGAAATACAATAAACATGTATATGAAGCACAGGTTTGGTACCCAAGGGGAAATATGTCACGATAACACCTGAGTGAGTGTCTTTCTCCCTCACATCTTCTGTGCTTGCAGGAGGACCTGGAGGTGCCCGTACCCAGATACTTTGTGAGTGAAAGGCTGCGAGTGCTGAAAGACCGCGAGAGGATCCTCGGCCAGATTCTGATGAAAGCCGGACATTTCGAACGGGAAACGGTCAGGGGGGTTGCGAATCGCCAGCCCATTCATACTTCCAGGCTAAGCACATGTCCAAAGTGCACAACAGCTTTTTTCATCTTGACATAGAGTAGAGCAGGATGGCTGCACTTTTCTTCTTAGATCTTGCACCTTGAAATACGCTGACCATGGTTGCCTCTTCTTTAAGGTTCAATGGTTTGGAGATTAAGAAATTCTAATTAGAAGCAGAACAGGTGTCTTTCGAAGATAAATACTGTAAGAGACTGGCTGGGCACCTTTTTTCATACTTTCAGTAGACTAATGCAAATAAAAGCGAACAAAAAACAATCTTTTGGCCGGGGAGTGTGTTTTAACTGTATCCAGAGTTTGGCCTGTTCTTTCACAGAAGGCCCCAGCACGGTCCATGTCGCTGGAGGAGGCGGCCCGCTTAGTGCAGGTGTCGGAACGCGCGCGGCAGGGCCGGCTGAGGGCCAGGTTCATGAGGGAGATCCGGCAGGAGGAGGAGAAGGAGCGGCTGGCCAAGACGCGCGGAGCCAGCTCCCTGGATCCTCATGAAGCAGCCACCCGCATTCAGAAGGTTAGAGCACATATATCACAGACTGCCACACAGAACCAGGCAGCAGGCACAATTCCAGTGCCAGAAGCCATATCACCCTGCAGCTCAAAACAGGCAACCCACTGAAGCTAAGCAAAAACTGTGGTATTAGTGGGACCAGTAAGGGGCGCTCACCTTTCTAATGCCCCAATAAAGTGATGTGGACATTATGTTTGGATGAGATGTAGAACTGAGGTCCTGACTCTCTGTGGTCATTGCGTATTGTGCACACTATGGCTGCCGTCGCATTATCCAGGTGGGAGCTGCACACATTGGTGGAGAGGGGTCCCCATTACTTGTAAATGTAAGGAATAATAATAATAATTATTATTATTATTATTATTATTATTAGTTGTTGTGTTTACATAGCAATGCAGCAGGTAGTTTGTTCCTGCCTTTGCAAAACTGCAGCACTGTGTCGTGCAGAGGATGAGATTATGATGATCAGAGCTCTTTATGTGAAATAAAATCTGCCTCAAAAACAAAGGTTTTGCTCGGGTCCTCTGTGAACACTGTTGTTTGTTGTTTATGTGAGGAAGGAATTTTCAAGAGACGAAGGAAAGCAGGTTTTATTTCATTGATCTCGCTAAAGCTTTATCTTATCCAAGGCATCATTCTGTCTCTGAGGTAGAATGCACGTTATGGCTGATGTAGCAGTAGACATGAAGGGACATTTTGGACATGAAACGATAGAGGCTTTTTTAGATTTAATTTTCAGCTGTTGTGCAATAAACACATAAACAATAACACTCATCTGAGTTCATCTGGTCATATACAAACAGCCAAGTACATGACATGCATCAGTTTAGTGAACAGAAAAACATTACTTGATATACAAGGAATATACAACCAGAACATAGTTTGCAGATCATTATGTAACTAGGTCTAGTCCTATGAGTGCTTCTGTGATGTTATGGGGCAGCGTTCCTGCACAAGTATTTTGATTCATCTCTACATAAAGCTGTCACAGCAAACACAAAATATAGAAATGTTATAAATAGCAGCAAGACATTTTCTGAGAGAGAAATGCCAAGTGAATGAGTAAGAATCACTGGAGCATTACGACTTAGTGAAGATGTTATATATAAGCATGAAGGAATCTTTCATATTTTATTGAGCAGATTTTGTAAGGGCAAGAACATATGCCTAAAAATGTGCAGAATACAGAATGCATGAGTAAAAATAACAATAATTAGCCTTTGGTACCCTTAGTAACAGACATAAAAAAAAATAATTAGAGAGGGGGGAACTATTTGCAAGTGAGAGCTGGCATTCACTTACAATATGTGAGTAGTTCAGGTGGGGAGCTGCGTCAGCATGTGTAGACTGCAAAGGAACAAGTAATAGGTTTATTCCATGCTGAAAAGAGAAGAAAGAAAGCACAACGTTTCTGCCGCTGAAACATTGTGTTTTCTTTCTTCTCTTTTTGGCATGGAATAAACCTATTACTTGTTCCTTCACATATGTGCGTATGTGTGAAAGGACTTTCTTTCTCATAGCAGAAATAAAAAGTAATTATAGAATAAGTCTTCTTCATTGTAGGATATTTCATATGTGTTGGATAAGTAGGAGTCTTATCTGTTAACAGCCCATAAAATGTCTGGCAGTTCAGTGTCTTTAGTATTTAGATTACTGATCCTTTGGTTAACCACAAAGCGGATTTATCAAGTTTCAGTGCTAAACAGTTAATGCTTTTTTCCATGCTGAGGTTTTGGAAGTATGTTTGAACCCTCAAAACTGCATTCAGTGATTGATTCAAAGCTGCCATCTATCTGCTTACTTTTGAGTCATGCTATCTTATCTTGAAGGCAAGTCCAGGTTTTTGATTCGTATTTTTAGTAGGACTGTGTGGTTCATCATTCAGTTGCTTGTATCTTATTGTATTTTATTGTATTGTATCTTATTGCTTAGTTCATATTGGACATTACCAGTTGTTTGGTATTTTTGCTGTTACAAATAAACCACAAAATCTCATTATTTTCCTTTCTTTGAAAACTGCAAGTGCTCATTCACTACATACAGTAGAAGCTTTCCATCTGTACACATTTGTACAAATCTGTACACTTTGTAATAAGTATTGCTAACTCTTTTCTGTGTTTTGCAGGTCTGGCTGGGCTATAGTCAGAGGAAGAAAACAAAAAAGGAACGATTAGAGGAGATGATATTCCTAGGAATGGTGAGAAATCAACGTAATGCATCCTAAGTCAGTAGGGAACTTTAAAAAAAAGTTTTTAAGTTCTGAGCTATCTAGCAGGGCAGTGCCAGTTTTGTTGAGCCCATAGCAATGTGAGCTGTTAAGCTAACTCAGGAGGTCTTTACAAAAAAAAACTAATCTATATCTGAGATATGTTACACAATTTCCCTGTAATATACAGCAGTTACATGTATTAAAATACAGTTAAGTAATTAAAGCATAAAAAGAATTAATAGAAGTAAAGTTCAGAGAACTGTGACAAAAAGGACCTGAGTTACTGTATAAAATGGCAGTAATTTGGGCAAAACAGTGCATGATATTGGAGATCACTGTAAAGCATTCTGGTTACTAATCTACTTCTCTTTAAAGTAGCATACAAACATGTAGAAGTAGCATACAAATGATGCATGATAATAGAGCTAACGCTATTTCACAGCAGGTGAAAACAACAAGCAGGTGCCAGTGACAGAGATATACAGTATACAGTATGTGGCCTAAAAGAGCAAAATTAAGAGGTTTAGAAGGTCAGGCATCTGTGTGCAGTTTGAAAGTGTAAAAATCACTCCATAAAATAATTTTATACTTGCCTTCTTTTGAGACAAAAAAGGAGTCTGTTTTAAATATGAGCCTTAAAGGAAGCTTAGGAAAAACATACACACTGTCATCTGACAACTGCCTTGAATTGTTTCATTTTAAAATAAACAAAACGTAGGTTTGACTTAGGTTTAACGTAGGTCTTAAAACATATTGTTATTGCAGAATTGGTATTTTAATCCAAAAAGCAGCATATCAGTAGTGTACAATATATAGCCACATTATTTTGACAGCTTGCAAAAAGTACTATATTTTTATGTGCAACATTTTTATCTCGCGGGTTTTCACGAGAAAATAGCCTGAAACAAATAAAGACATGTCTTGCGAGAAGAATTTATGACTTGTGATGGCTCCTGAAGATGAAATATGTGGGAAAGCTACATCTTAACCAATGCAAAAAGAGTGCAGCCTAGTACAGTGAAGTAATATAGTAATATTCCTTACCTAGTACAATGATGTAAAATAGTTTGAATATATAGCAGAAAAAACAATTCCAGCTTTCAGGTTTGCCAGGTTAGAAAAAGTTTGAGTTCGACTGAGTTGAAGACAGGTCAAAGGCCAGGTTCAGTTTGTGCACTCTGCCACATACAACTGCCAGACCATGCTGTAGTGTATATCTCTGAGAAGACAGATATGTGCCTTTTAAGAGCTTGTTGACAACTTTGTGAAATTGATGACATGCTGTGCTGATTTTAAACACCTTTTCAGGGCTGTATTGTAGAACTGCATGTGAAGTTGTTCACTCTCTCTTTCTGCCACCAACGTTCAGTAGCAGTAAATTGTCATTTTAATGCTAAGTTTTTTGGACCTTTTTAAATAGCTTCTGAATTCAGGTTGTTGTCAGTACTTGATATCCTGCTTTACATGTGAATGTATCTTTAATACAATGTAAATGAGGCCACACTCTAGGTGATATTCCCAATAAATTCCCCTTTTCCAAATGGTGGAAAAGGCAAATAAGACAGAATTACAGACAACATTCTTTTTACAATGAGCCTTGTACGAATATTTCAGAGTGATTTGAACAGTTGATTCCAACGAAGAATCCAAATTCTTCTTTTTTTTCAGCTGTAGGAGATTCATTGTTCCTTTTAACAACAGGCTGCAGGCCATCAACACAAACATCAGGCAAATTTTCACATTACTAAAGCAGAGTGTGGGGCTACGTCTGAGCTTTGTCATTATTGTGCAGCCCAGGATTTAATCAGTTTGGTACGCTAAGGAAGGAACTGCTTTTTCTCTGCTGAAATTAAAATAGTTTGTCTTGCATAATGTTTTACAGATAGGTCTGTTTATAAGTCTGTTTTCAGTGACCTTGCATAATGTATCCTCAACAATTATTCATTCTTCTTCCTGAAGCATATTTCCTTCTTTGTGAATGTAATGGTGAAAGTAAACTGCTATGAAATTTTGAGAATTATTCCGTGTAATTGTTACATATTAACATTCTGCAGAATTTGTAATGCATGCTTTTAACAGTATTTGTCCAAGCACATATTGAGCAATGTGTGTTTGCTTGAAACAAATCCTTATTCTCAAATGTAAAATTCTGTACTGGAATCTATTGAAAATGATTGGCACTATTACTTTATATGAACTGAAGCTCCTGGTATGTGGCTCATTAGTGATGGATGGTTTTGCCACAAAAAATATGGAAACACAGACTGCAAGCATATAATAAGCATATTTGAACATTTTTGCTGTCGTAGCTAAAGAAAAGGGAGAAAATATATATTTTAAATAAACTGACTTATTATCTTGAGGCATTACAGCACCTAATAATTAATGTTTCATAAACAAAGTCTGAATTATTTTACAGACTTGCCACAGGAATTTCATATTCCCTTTCATGTTTAATTATACATAGGGTAATATATTATACGTTGATATCGCCCTTTGGCTAAATTAGTAATTAATAAATGTACAAATCAGCAGGGTAATAAATAGTTGCTCTTCATATAAATCAGTTAGGGTTTTTCATTGCTTTGTTAGTGATATTCCACTTATGATACTGAAAGAATAATAATGTGTTGAAAACTATAATGTTATATTAACCGAGCATAAAGACACATCTAGTTTTTCTCCTTAAGTATATTTGTACTTGGATTCATTAGGTTGGAAAAGGAAGATCAGATATTAAGTCTTTGTATAAAAGCAAGCTTGGCTTTGGAAACCAATTGTAGTCTTGTTTTGCCAAGAGACTACAGGCTATATACTCCAAAGTGTTTCAGTGTTTACTCTGAATACATTTCATGCACTGCCCTCTTAGCTAAAGGCAGTAAACATTTATTTCTGGACCAAATTCATTTTCTGACATTATTTATTTATGAGAATAATTACATTGCAGTCTCCAAAGGGTGCAAAGGGAAGTCCTGCTGGCAGATTGTGGTGGCCAAACATCAGACAATAAACACAGAGGGAGACAGATGTGTGGAGGAACAATGGACAAGGCTCTTTGAGACATGCAATGGAAATATTTGCTTCTCCTTCGTCAGACTGATCCTTTCAGGTGTTTTCCATTAAAGCTGCTTCCAAATGCAGAAACTCAGTTCAGTATAGAATGTGTTCTGGTGTTGCTCACCATGAATGTTAACCCATGAATTTTTAAGGATGACCTTGTATTTGTCATGCTTGTAAGGTGCATTAGCTATGCTGCGTCTTGTGGCAAGCATAATTTTAGTGTGCACAAGAATCTATAGCTAAATTTAAAGCAAGGGTCTCAAGCACTTTAGATGGTTCCTGTCTTCATGGACAGCCCCTTATTTTCTTTAATGAAATATGTCATTTTAGTAAGAAAATGTACAAGACATTTAAAAAAGTCCTCTATGTAAGTAACTTAGAAAATAGCTATGTTAATTATTCAATTGATTAACATAAAAAAGGCACAATGGCCCTCCAGGAGTTGAGCATTAGACCTGTACTTTAGAGATTTTTGAAATGTGTGTCCTCGGTGTTTGGAGAAAGTTAATAGTAAGCTTTCTGTATGAAGTCATATTCGCTCACGCCAAAAACCTTGGCGTTTCATCAGCAACCCTAATGTTTAACCACTAATCATACCATTACTAACAGCTGTGGAAGAAGATCCCCCCCGCCCCAACCCGCACACTGGAGCTATTTAAGATCTGCCTGTGCACCACTTGGATGCTCAGTCAAAATATTAATTTGCTAGTCTCGGCATTTCCTGGTTTTCACCTTTGTCCTCTTGTGTTTGTTTGACCTTCGACTCTTGGATTCCCCTTCTCTTGGATTCCCCTTCTCTGCTTTCACTGGCCTTGGACTTGCTTGTGCTTCCTGGTTTCTGCCTATGGAACTCCTTTTGGTTCTTTCGCTTGTGTCCCCTGGTTTCGAGCTGTTGCCTGCCTTTAGATTGTGGCTCTGGACTTTTGTCTGCCTGTCACCACTTGCTCCTCCTCACCTGCTGCTGCATGCTTCTTGCCCAGCTGACTATTTACCTTTCCCTGCTTCGGGATCCCGCCCTGACCCTCTGATCCCTGCATAATATTGTAAGTACAGCAATACTACAGAGAGCTCTGGTCTTGGACCCCGTGATCAGATCATTTAGTGCTAAAAATCGGTTTAGTCTTAAATCTGCAATAGATAAAGGGCACTGAACATAAAATAGCTCCGTTTTTTTAAGATTCTATTTGTTCAGGTGTGGGCAACTGAGGATCAGATCACAGTGAAAAAGTATTCAACGATAACCAGAAACCAACCCTTTCAATTCATGCGTGTGTCAGATGTTTGCACAAGCATTTTTTTGTAATAATTGTCTTCAAGGTGATAATTACATTTTATATTTAAAGAAACAAATGTATTCATTATTGGATTAGATATAATGTTTATCCGACCATTTAATGAGTAAATGTGTTGCTTCTTGTCGTGTCTTTGTGGTTCTACTGCCCTCCCCCCACGTGATCGTCAGATACCCCCTCCCCAGCAGCAGAAGCTCAGTGCAGCCCAACTGCGGGTGCGACAGGTGGAGAGCGCCCGCCGGCTGGTGCAGGAGGAGCACGAGGCACAGTACCAGGAGGCACTGAGCAGTATCAAGGAGGCTGTGAGGGATGTTGAGGGGCCTGATGTTAAGGAGACTCTACAGGAGCACATCCGGCAGTGGTTCATTGAGTGCCGGTAAGAACAACTCTGTCCACTGTAGAGTCAGAGTAGCCATGTTTCACCCAAGCTGGGTATGTGTGTTTCATGTAAAAGGCAATACCAAATACATCCGGTGACATCAACTATGAATTACTGTGGAAGCGCAGCTTTTGA